CTCCCTCAGCACTGACCCTCCGACAGTACGGCGCTCCCTCAGCACTGACCCTCCGACAGTGCGGCGCTCCCTCAGCACAGACCCTCCGACAGCACGGCGCTCCCTCAGAACTAACACTCCCACTGAATTGCCGATAATTACAGCAGTGTGGGAGCGAGGGATTCTTTTACCAAGTCTAATGATATAAATTCCCAAGGGATTCCCTGCTTATCCCTTTGATGGTGGAAACGTGTTGGAGGGAACAGAGATGGCTCTCAAAACCATCCAACATCATTATACATCTATCCAATTAACACTCAACAGCAAGTGCATCAGGGACACATACATTCACTCTGTCAGGCACTCAAACAATAATTGAGTTTATTAATAAATAAATATATTTTGGAATAAACCTGTTAGAATCCTTAACCACAATCTCACTCTGATCGAGTGCTCTTCACATGCATAATTTAATTTGCACTTCATAACATTGTATAGGTCATTAAGATCTGCTGTATTCTTTAATTAAATATTTAAACCTGCCAAATTTTAAAAATATGTCGGCTTCAATTCCCTCTCCAACACTCGTGTTCCAAATTGCATCTCTCTGACACTGTCTCTCTCATTTCCATTGGGAGATTTTAATACAGCCTTTTCTCCCATGCAGTGCAGGCTGGGATAGCTCTACCTCCATTGTTATCTCCGGTGAGGGAGAAGCAACGGGCTTCCATTTGCCATGGGGGTGCCACACAGAGAAAGAACATTCATAAGAGTGTGGGAAAAGAGCTGGGAGGAAGGATGGTGCAAAGTAGGACTAACTAGAAAACAAATGGATGAATCCACACACAGTGCCAGACGATAGGCCGAAGTCCCTTTTTCTGTGCTGGAGATTTCCAGACCAGGTTAAACAGTTAAATGGACTACTTCGCTGCTCTATAGCGTTTGAGCTCCTGGGAATAAAGGCAAATGCTTATAGAGAAGCTGATGGGCATGCTTTAGCAATCTGCCAGAGGTAGAATTCTGTTTATTTGTGTTCAATGTGCGTGAATGTTGAATTTGAATCAGAGTGTTTGAATCTGTCTCTGTGTGTGTGTTAGAGTGAGAATATGAATGCTCAAGGGCTGCACTCTCTGAGGGTCAGTGCTGAGGGAGCGTCGCACTGTCTGAGGGTCAGTGCCGAGGGAGCGTCGCACTGTCTGAGGGTCAGTGCCGAGGGAGTGCTGCACTGTCGGAGGTCAGTACTGAGGGAGTGCTACACTGTCGGAGGGTCAATGCTGAGGGAGTGCCGCACTGTCGGAGGGTCAGTGCCAAGGGGAGCGCTGTATTGATCCTATTTTAATTTGTGGGAAGTGTTTAGACACAGAAGGAAGCCACTCGGCCCATCGTGCCTGCATAAGCTCTTCAAATAGACATTATTAAACACAGCCAATCTCATGCATTTCCCCGTACTCTTGCAAATGTTTTCTACCTGAATAATCGTGCGATTAGTTTGTGTGTTTCACCGATTATTCCGACAACTTCACTTCCAAAATATTTCATTGCTTTCGTCGCAGTTTGTGATGGGTGGTGAAAAGTGCTAGGGAAATGCAGTTCCTGTCTTTAAATCCCAGTGGGGGAGATTGAGGTGAGTTTCACTGGCATTTGGCACATTTTAAAGTCTTTGTCTCTCAGCCCTCATATTACTCAAGGAAAACACTCCAAGCTTCTCCAACTTGTTGGGGGAATTGAAACCTCTCATTGCTGGTGCCACACTCATGAATTTTTGCTCGCAAATGCTTTCATGTCCTTCCCAGAGCTTGGAGCTTAGTTTCAGTGCCAGCTTCAGTGTAATCTCTCAGCTGTTATATTGTCAGAATGCAGTGGGGGTGGGGGGTGGTCAGTGACAGAGGGTAAGCCCAGCACAAGGAGATGGGCCAAGTGGACAGGCAGGGTACGGTGGGGAGTCAAACAGTTGTCCAGCGTTGCAGAAATTTATGTTCTTTCCTTGCTGCTGAATGAATACTTTCCTCAGCTGCTGATGCTGCTTAAAAGTATTAATGCTCAATTCTTAATCTCCTCTGCACACCAGCACAAGCTAATTACCGTTAAACCAATCTCTGCCCTTTCTGCTTTCATGCTCTGACACTTCATACCTCAGGCACTGAGTTTTTCTCATTTCCATCAGTGTTCGAATGTGGCATCAGCGCTTGTTCAACTTCAGGAAAGATTCTATCTCCATGGTTTCCAGGGAAATAGCCCCGATTGCAAATATTCAACCCTTACCTCGTCGACCTCTAGAATTTCCTCAAACACCACTCCCTATCTCTGTATTCTCCTCCAGCCACTACACCCCCTCCCTATCTCTGTAACCTCCTCCAGCCCCTACACCCCTCCCTATCTCTGTATTCTCCTCCAGCCGCTACACCCCCTCCCTATCTCGGTAACCTCCCCCAGCCT